AACAGCCTTACATGCATTTGTGGATGCAATGACATTTGTAAAGAATGATTTTTTTTCATGCAGTGATTACAGAAAAAGCTTGTTGTCAATCTACTGCCATATGAAGTGGTTGAAGACCACTGGCATTCACTTGTGATTTCTCTTCATGCAAAAAGATTGTTCTAGGTTCCTTATATTTTGATGATATTATGCACTACAGAAAGTGAAATACCTGAAATCTTTGCAATCCCTGGCTGGATTTGCTGCTTATGCATTTCTGGTGACCGTTGCAAGCCTAAACTAGTCCTTGGTCATAAAACACTAGGCCTTTCCTGGATGCTCCTTTTATATCCAACTATGATTACATCAGTTTAGATGTTTTTAAACATTTTACAATATTCCTAGGCTTAATTTGTGTCTCAACTTTTTAGAATGTGTTGCAAATATAAATTTCAGTATAAATATGTATTTAGAAATAATATTGAAGTTGATGAGGTAAAATATTACTTACACATGGCCAAAACTATGTGGATGCCTTATGGCTTAACATAACTCTATGAACTTTTTAGTCATCTCATTCCAAAATTTTGGCCATTAATATGGAATTGCCCTCCTTAGCGGCTTTAACAGCCTCCACTCTTCTGGGAAGGCTGTCTAGAAGATTTTGGCATGTGTCTGTGGGAGTTTGTGCCCATTCAGTCAAAACAGTGTTTGTGGGGTCAGACACCGATGTTGGATACGAAAGCCTGACTTGCAATCAATGTTTCCATTAATCCATCACATGTTTCTGAGCTGATTTTGCTGTGTTTGATGAAGTATTCCTGTTGTAAGAACACCAGTGTTGAAGTGATGATATATTAAATTCATTTTGAGATGTTTCTGCAGTGTTTTGGTTGCTGTAGAGCAGTTTGGGTATAAACAAACTGTTGTGCAGATCTGCATGATTCTGCAGTGAAGTGTGTGAAGAGCTTTGTGATATTTTGTGATATTTCTGCTGTATCACACATTCAATCCAATGCCTTCAGTTTGAATTTTTCACATTAAAATGAACATTATGAATTTATCATAATGAATCTGTTAAATATCAACTTACCTTGAGGTGATTTCACTGCAATCTGCAATGCTGCTTCCTGTTCTGGTCTGCATCCAGAAATTTTTGCTACTGCTCCTGCCTTCTGCCTTCCTTCCTACTTTTCCTTTCCTACCATGGAAGAACACAGAGGAGTTAAGGAGAGGAGAAGAATAGTGGAAATAGGCAGAAAGTAGGAGATGGGACAGTCGATTCCATTCAACATCATTAAATTCAACATCACCCCCTAATATTCATCCAATCACATATAATCATAATCAAAGCTTAACATTTAAAGTATAGTTTCTTCTTCTGCATGCAATGATGTCACCTGAAAATCTGTAAAAGACTTCCTGGGTAGTGCACCCTTGTGGCTGAGTCCACTGCTCTTCTCCTACCCTAGAAGAATGAGGAATCAGGGGAAAAGAGCAGGAAGAATGTAGAGAATGACATTCCTTTCAACATCTATATATTACAAAATATAGTTAGATTGCTTATATTACACAAATCTCCACTCTTCAACATTCCTTTGTGGGTGTGGTCTGTAAAATCTGTAAAAGATTGGAGGCTGCTTCAGCAGATGTTCAGAGCAGTTTCTCTTTCTCTTTGGACAATTGGTAAGAAATTTCCAGGACCCAGAGGAGAGGAAGAGGGTCATTAGCAAAAAGCAGTAATTTTTAGACTTACTGGGCGCAGCCCTGGTCTTTTGCCTTTCCCGCTCACTCATAATACTTTCAGTGTATGAGCAATCAACTAGCTCCACTCATATCTTTACTTCACTTTAGTTTTTAAGTACATGTTACTAAATGCTAAAATTCAATTACTTTCCCCACTAGAAAGTTGCCATAACTAAGTTTAACTGAGTAAACTTAGTAAACGTAGCCAAAATAATTAAGTTCACTGTGTAAAAATACTGTGTTTTTATTACTTAGGTGATTAGTTAGTTTTAACAGTGGTATCAAACAAAGACAGTGTGTGATTAACGTTACCTTATAAATATGTGTTACTGCAGGTTGCACTGTGGTAAAAAGTGGAAAAAAAAAAAACATTGGTTATCAAAGCACATATAGAAGGGTCAGCACTACCACCCTGCACCTGTACTGACCTACACACTAAACCTGAGACATTCACCTGGACCAAACTTTGCAAAACGAGCAACACATGGGAAGTGATTTCCAATATGAGTCAGTACAGAAACAGAGTTCAGCTGGTTAATGGTCACTCTCCAGGAAATCTCTCTCTGCTCATATCACACCTGACTGAAGAGGATGGAGGAGATTACAGGTGTGAAATTAAAGGAAGTGAACACACAGACATGACACTCACTGTTGAAGGTAATGCACTGCACTGTTTTGGTGTGTATTTGTATAATTTCAAAACTAAATGTAATCTAAATTAACTCTACATGGTTTTGTTAGATATATATCATTACAAATCTTCACTCTTTAATTTTGATCACTTGTCATTAGACTGTATTAAATTCCAAAAATCACAACAAATTTCTGTATTGTACTGATGTGATTGTTTGGGTAAATTATAATAAATAGCTTTAGTGTTACTGTGTATCTACAGTGAGCTGTTTGATGCTGTCTCGTTCCTGTACTGACTATTAAACCCATCTGTCCCTACAGGGGTCTCAAATAAAACTACAAAATCTACTGCAGTGGTCAACAGCCCAACCAGGTCAACCACACCAATCACAGCAACCTCTCAAACTTCTAATGGGAAGCACAGCACACAGCCTTTTCTGGCTGAAGGTAGGAGATAACAACTTTAATGTGTTTTAGTGGTGTCATGTTTTTCACGAGCCAGGATTTGCCTTGTCCTGTTTCCACCCTGAGTCACTATACATATCACGCTATGTCTCTATGCTGTAAACATGTAACAACTGCATTAGTTAGTGTTTTCATATGAAGTGTTGACTAATTAAGTAATGCATTTATTAACATGAACAACAACTGAGGTTCTACATTGATAATGGTTAACTAATATTAAGTAAACATGTTACAACTTCATTAGTTTATGTTCTAGTGTTTTGCTTATGTACTGCAGTTATACATAACGCTTGAAAAAGCAATGTTAAGTTTAATTGGCTGAAATGACACTTTACCAATGGTAGCCACTAACTTGTTTTATTTACTTCCATTTACTGATGTAGTATTTTGTACTGTATTTTAAATGATAACACCTTTATTTCTCCCTACTGCTTTTCCTTCAGTTCCATTTCAGTCATTACTGTTTAGTTGCTTGCTGGGGTTTCATTGTGTCATCTTGTTGAGGTGGTTCAGCTCCTGTTTTGCTTCTTTGTTGCTCACACCTCTCACTTTGGAGCTTTCATATTTTATTTCAGATGCAAAAGGAAATAAAAAGCTAATAATATAGTCTTCAGTTCCTCTGCTGAGAGATTCTGGATGTACTGAGCTTGACTGGACCTTTCCAAGTTACTCATTACTTATGTATGTAAATGAGCAGAAGGTAATATTTTATTTTATATATAAAAGCTTAATATGCTACATTCTGATGTATATTAGATATGCTTATGTGTGTATTGCAAGAAGGAATTATACATACTGAAATGATTTACTTACCTACCCAATTTCTCTTCCTTATTCCAAATTTTATCATGCATGTGTGAGTGTGAATGGGACATTTTAGGAAGTCATCATACATTTAGAAATTGTAAATATAAACATGATCGTATAAACAGACATTTTCATCAAACTCAGATACTCAGAGAGCACATTTAACATGCTTTATGTTAAAACCAATAATACCTTAAAATGCATTACAAACATCTATTAAACATTACTAAAGGTTTATAAGGTCTTGTTCATTGAATTATTCTTGTTCATTGAATATAATATATACACACACACACTCATTTTCCATTTTATCAGCTCCACTTACTATATAGATGCACTTTGTAGTTCTACAGTTACAGACTGTAGTCCATCTGTTTCTCTGCATATTTTGTTAGCCCACTTTTACCCTGTTCTTCAGTGGTCAGGACCCCCATAGACCCTCACAGAGCAGGTACAATTTGGGAGTTGGATCATTCTCAGCACTGCAGTAACACTGATGTGGTGGTGTGTTAATGTGTGTTGCGCTGGTCTGAGTGGATCAGACACAACAGTGCTGCTGGAGTTTTAAACACCTCAGTATCACTGCTGGACTGAGAATAGTCCACCAACCAAAAATATCCAGCCAACAGCGTCCTGTGACCACTGATGAAGGACTAGAGGATGACCAACACAAACTGTGCAGCAGCAGATGAGCTGTCGTTTATGATTTTACATCTACAAGGTGGACTGACAAGGTAGGAGTGTCTAATAGAGTGGACAGTGAGTGGACACACTGCTTAAAAACACCAGCAGCACTGCTGTGTCTGATCCACTCGTACCAGCACAACACACACTAACACACCACCACTATGTCAGTGTTACTGCACTACCTTACTACACCCCACACACACAATTAAAACCAGATAAGATGTGAAGCTCATTGCTCAAGCAGCCTTATGGTTTGCCAGGCAGAATGGAGGACTAGAAGAGAGCAGAAGAACTGCCAGTGGAACATTTATGGTGTCACTTTCTTGGAATACCTGCAGCACTGGAGAGTCTAAAGGAAAAAGTGGTAAATGGCACTTTGAGGTAACCAAACATGAAAGTAAGCAAGCTAAGATAAAATGAACAGCTAAAGACAAATTGAGAAGAACATCCCTGCTAGGAAAACCAGCGTATGTTGTGTTTTGGATGCTCCTCTGCTGATCATCACATGACCATCACAGTTAATTGGGCAGTGCGTCCTGGGAATCAATGTACGACAGAAGAGCATGATGTGTTATCATGACTCAGAGAAAACTGGGTGTGTTTTAATCAAGCTGCTGATAAAATCTTTCCGCTGATAGACGCTTTCCGGTCTAGCTGAATTGGGCGCAGCTCCTGTGAGCTGCACGGACATTAGAGTGGGTTAGACTCCAGTGAAGAGCTGCTGAGAGAGCTGTGTACTCAGTGTGGTATACAGGGCTAGTGTAGTGCTGGGTGTGGAGCTGTCAGTGGGCTGTGAACTCAGTGTTGTTTTACTAGTGAGAATGTTGCTGACTTTTTGTCTTCTCTTCATTGGGCTTCATGTCTCTGAAGGTGAGTGTCAAATCTTCTCTTCTTACTCATAACATAAAATGTAAATTTGTGTGTCATACAGTGCCATCAGAGTGAGGTCCTCTTTCACCCTTTTACCATGAAAGCAGCATGTGTATATACAGCTGTTATGGTTACAGATGTATGTATGTCTTTGGCACTTTTTACTTCAAAGAAATACATTTGTTATAGATAACCAGATAACCAGTATGTTTCTTCAGGCTGGTGAACAATGAAAAACGACTGTTTTTCTGACAATGAAAAGTATCACAGCACATACCGGAGGGTCAGTACTGCTGCCCTGCTACTGCACTGACCTACACACCACACCTAAAACATTTATCTGGAGAAAATACAACACAAATGCATGGGATGAGATATCCAGTGAGAGTAGTCAGTACAGAAACAGTGAGCTCACTGATTTATACTTTCAGCAACAAACACATCATCAACAAATATTTATTTCTTTGAGTAGACCACTTATCCACACAAGGTTAAAGAAACTTAAAAGTGAAACAGCAGTTGTGTACTGTGATTGTAATGTAATTTAATTAATTAAAGATAATGGTTCTATTTAGGTACCTATTTAGAACCACAAGTCCTATACAGAGTCATTTCAGGCTTAAATGGTTCTCTGCATGTATAAGGTTTTATATGGAAGCTTTTTAAAAAAGGGTTCTTTATACTAAAAAGGGTTCTACTATAGTACAATGTCAAGCTTGTACCCATAGAAGAACCCTTTTTTGGTGCTATATAGAACCATTTTAAAAAAGCTTAGAACTATATACAGCACATTCTCCATCAATCTGAAAAACACATTTAACCATGCAAAGAACTGCCTAAGCATGAAATGGTTCTATATAGAACTCATAATTCTGAATAGAACCATTCCCTATACTAACAAACCCTTGAAGAACCATCGTTTTTAAGGGTGTAGGATTTTGAGATCTGAGCAGGAACACTATTCCGTCTTTTACTGCTGGAATAGTAGTAAAATGGTTCCGGTAGTAAAATGGCTCTGGTAGTAAAATGGTTCTGGTCATTTCGACTTGTTTCCACTCATGTTTGTAACCCTTCCTTTTATCCAAGAATCCCAGCCGTGCCTGGTGTCTTTCTGTCTGTCTGTCTGTCTGTATGACTGTTTCTTTTTTTTTTTTTAAGAGACCCACAATTGCTCTTTAATTAACTCAAATAAACAGATTTAGGAATGTAAGCAAATTTGTCTGCATATCAGCAAAAGTCATTAGTGCTGGAGGGCGGTTACTTCCCCAGGTCACGTCTTTCCTGGCAAGCAGATCTTATCAGCAGAAAAGGAAAGGAAACCAAAGGAAACTGCAGTCAGTCTGTTTCTCCCGCGACTTGTTCTTCACAAGAAGAAGAAGTTTCTGCAGCAGAGGAGAATTTTTCCAGGGGAGGGGATACTCCAGCTCCTGTGTTGAAAGCAATAAAGTGGACATAGTGCTTTTTGCTGAGGCCGCTCCAGTCCCCCAGCCTATAATTTGTCCTGCTCTATTCCCTCAGTCAGCCACTGATTCTGATTAGCTGCTCTCGTTGAGACTGAAGACCTCACTTCCCTGGTGGTCAAAACTTCCCCTCAGCTCTTTCCTGTGATGAGTAAAGACACCCTCACCCCTGCAGGGCCCCTGCATAAAGAAAACATGTGCTGCATATGACAATGAAGGCCCTATATGGTTATACTTTGCTTTCAAAGCTGGTGTCTTCAGTCTGCAAACAATTACTAAGTGCTGTTAAAAGTAAAGGGGATGTAAAGCTGTGGTAAACATTCCACTGTACCTAATTTTTTGGAACATTTTGCAGGCATCACATTTGGAATGAGCATATACATCCTTGGCTTTGGTTGGTACTCATGTATTTGAACAAAGTGTAACAACATCACACAAAGAGAGAAGTTTTGAACAGCTGTACGTAAATCTTTTTTTTTCTTTAGTTACAGTGTTAAGTGCAGTACTTGTGAAGTGTTTCAGTAGTGACAGTTCTTAATGTGACACAATGATTTTCTGATTTTAGGACACATTGACTCCAAAAAAAATCAAATCTAACTGTTCAACCCCATGGCTATGAGGGACAAAGATGCAGTTTCACTTCCTGCTTTAAAATGCAGGGGTGTGGCCTAAATAAGAATCCGCCTATGGACTAAAACGCAGGGTTTTGGTAGCAATGTGAAAACAAATAAATCAAAACAATCCATTAACAAACACCATAAAAAGAGACAAAATTTGAAGAATTGTTATCACAAGCGCAAATTTAGTGGTAAATTTAGTGTAGAGTTCAGTCCAGTTCAGTAGTTCAGTCACCTCCCAATAGAAAGTACCCTATAAATGGTAATTTTGTATATATTTTGCTTATTACTGTAACATAATCCTTGTAAACATATAAGGTTTGAAATATATGTTTTTGTTTGTTTTGATGTGAGACAGTAGTTTGTAATAATTCAGTAGAATGGCCCTTATACATAAAAATATATATAACATAGCTTACCTAGTGCAGTAGGTAACGTCATATACTGCAATCTGTAGTTAAGGTTAGGAAGTTAAGATTAGGGTTAGGTTTAGGAGTGGGTGTAGGTTTAGTGTTGAAGGTTAGGATTAGTTTTAGGAGTAGGTGTAGGTTTAGTGTTGAAGGTTAGGGTTAGTTTTAGGAGTAGGTGTAGGTTTAGTGTTGAAGTTAAGGTTAGGGTTAGGGTTAGGTTTAGGTGTAGGAGTATGTTTAGTGTTGAAGATAGAGTAAGGATTAGGACTAGGTGTAAGTTTAGGTTAGGTTCAAGATAAGATTTAGTAGAATCTATCACACTGTTACATTTAGTAAACATTTTTTTGTCTTTTGTTTAAAGACCAACTGAGCATTTACAACCTACATAATTAACAATGGACCATGAAAATAAAGTGTAACTGTACATTTTACAGCTTAAGATGTTACGCTTCATTTTTATTTTTGTGGGATATTTTTGTTTGTTTTGTTTTGTTTCATGTATTTGAAACCAAACTTTAACAATGTCACACAAAGATAGAGTGTAAGTAACCTTATCTTACTGATGTTTCTGCAGGTTGCACTCTGGTAAAAAATGAACATGGATCCTTTATCAAAGCCCATATAGGAGGGGCAGTCCTGCTGCCCTGCTACTGCACTGACCTACACACCACACCTGAAAGATTCACATGGAAGAAACTGGACACAACCAGAAGCACATGGGAAGAGATATCCATTGAGAGTGGTCAGTACAGAAACAGAGTTCAGCTGGTTTATGGTCACTCTCCAGGAAATCTCTCTCTACTCATATCACACCTGACTGAAGAGGATGGAGGAGTGCACAGGTGTAACATTACAGCAGATGAACACACAGACATCACACTCACTGTTGAAGGTAAAGCACTGTTTGAATCTGTTTGTGTACATTCCACACGTCTCAACTCACTAACTGTTCACTTGTGGTGAGACTGTATCGTACGGAAGCCCTGAAGGGTGAGGAAAAAAGCTATATTCCTGAGTCTAAACTCTATTTATTTTTATTTTTTTCTGTCTGTATAGCACAGGAAAGACAGCCAAAATAATAAGAATTTAATTTCTTACAGAGTTGTTTTAACTAACATTTATAAAAAAGAACCACTGAACATTTTAACCGTAACTGTATGATGACCAGTTCTCTATTTGTCCTTTAATTGGAAGTTTGTTGAAGTGAATTGGATAAAGCTGGGATAGTGTGGTTCACCAAGGGTGAGAGGGGAAAAAACAAAAAAAAGCAGCTGCCCCCTCGAGGTTGAAGGTGGTATAGCATGCTAATTGTTAGCTGCTTTGCTGCCCAGTGTGTGCATGGTTTTGGTTTTTTCACTTTATCCCTGATAAATAAGAGAAAAAAAAGAATTAAAAAATTACAGAGGGTCTACCTAAAACTGCAACATCTAGTGCAGTCATCCTCAGCCAAATGATTACAAGCATTTCATTTGCAAGTTACTCTCAAACACCTGATTGTAAGAACAGCACACTGACAGCAGCTGAGCTTAAGATGTTACTGCTTAATTTTATTATTATTATTATTATTATTATTATTATTATTATTATTATATTTTTGTCTCCATGTATTTGAAACAAAACTTTAACAACATCATACAAAGATAGAATGCAAGTAACCTTATCTTACTGATGTTTCTGCAGGTTGCACTCTGGTAAAAAATGAACATGGATCCTTTATCAAAGCTCATACAGGAGGGTCAGTCCTGCTGCCCTGCTACTGCACTGACCTACACAAAAAACCTGAGAGATTCACATGGAAGAAACTCAACAAAACCAGAAGCACATGGGACGAGATATCCATTGAAAGTGGTCGGTACAGAAACAGAGTTCAGCTGGTTAATGGTCACTCTCCAGGAAATCTCTCTCTACTCATATCACACCTGACTGAAGAGGATGGAGGAGTGTACAGGTGTTACATTAAAGATCATGAACACACAGACATCAGACTCACTGTTGAAGGTAAAACACTGTTTGAATCGGTTTGTTTACATTTCACGTCTCGACTCACTAACTGTTCACTTGTGGTAAGACTGCATTGTGAGGAAGCCCTGAAGGCTGAGGAAAAAAAAGTATATTCCTGAGTCTAAACTCTACTTTATTTATTTTTTCTTTCTGTATAGAACAGCAAAGACAGCCAAAATAATAAAAATTTAATTTCTTACAGAGTTGTTTTAACTAACATTTATAAAAAAGAACAATTTTAATTCACGCGTAACTGAATGATGACCAGTTCTCTATTTGTCTCTTAATTGGAAGTCTGTTGAAGTGAATTGGTTAAAACTGGGATAGTGTGGTTCAGCAAGGGTGAGAGGAGGAAAAACAAAAAAACAAAACAAAGCAGCTGTCCCCTTGCAGTTGATGGTGGTATAGCATGCTAATTGTTAGCCACATAGCTGCTTAATTATTTTTTTTCCACTTGGTTCCTGATAAATAAGGGTAAAAAAAAAAGCAATTTTATTTTTTTTTGCAGGGAAGGGTGGGTAGTGGGGAGTTGTTGATGGTTGAAATGTAAGTGACCCTTATTAGTCCCACAACGGGGAAATTTCACCTCCGCATTTTGACCCATCCATGCAGTGAAAGACCACATACACTAATGAATGCACACACAGTAGGGGGTAGTGGGCAGCCCTATCCACAGCGCCCGGGGAGCAGTTGGGGGTTAGGTGCCTTGCTCAAGGGCACTTCAGTCGGCTGTCGGTTGAACCGGCGACCTTCCGGTCTTTTTTTTTTAGGTCAACCTCATTTGTTAATCTGGCTTAATCAGCTATGTTTACATTTGTTTGCAAGCCAAAGTAAAACGTTTCTCTTTCTTTATTGCACTCTATTCAGTATTGATAATCATACATTTAAACCTCACACAACTCTCCAATATACAAAAAAAAATTCAAAAGACTTTCTACATAAGCCCACAGGGGGGTCCAAAGTTTCCAGAATTTGTCTGTTTGGTGATGCAGGTCATGGGTCAGTTTTTTTTTTCAAGGGAAGCAGCATTGCAGCTTGGGAAGGCCACTGCTCAACAGTTGGTGGAGAGGGACTGGCCCATCGCATTAGGATACAGCTTTTTGCCAGAAATGAAAACATTAGAAACAAAACTTTGTCATCAGTATCAAAATTATGTTCTACTCCTGTTCCTAAAAGATACAGGGCTTCTGAAACCATGTTTGAAAAATATGTCCTACTATATTATGTACTCTGTCTCAGAACGTACCTGGAAACATCTTTTGTAGGCAAACAGGTGTTAACCAGGTGTAAATCCTATTCATGAATTTAAAGTTAAGCTCATGAACACCAGATGAGGTACATTTGGGAAACAGGTTTTACAAATATTAAGCCAGTCCTCTTCTGAGATAGGTTGGTCTATGTCCCCCTCCCAAATTTCTCTGAGTGTCTGATGAGGGCTTAATACTGTTTAACAAAATGTTGTAAATTTAGTGAAATCGACCCTCTGGCCTGATCCTGCTTAACCAGTACCACTTCAATGTCGGTTAATTCCTTTCTGAATTTCCCATCTGTAATGGCTGAAATGATCAGATGTTGAACCTGAAGATATTTCAGAAAACAAACAAGAAATGTTTTTAATCCCTCTATTAAGCCAAGCTAAGAGTCCAGATCTACTCAGCTGGGAAGGTAAGTCCGGGTTGTGGGCCAGGGGGGAAAGCAGCGAGAGGCAATGGGGGATCCCAAGGTATTTCTTAACATCTGTCCAGGCCATAAGAGTACTGCATAGCACAAAGTTCTCAGAGACACATTTTACCTCTACAGTGTTGTTAATGAATGGTAATAGGGAGACATGCCTCAGTTTCTATAGAGACAGAGCAAGAGTCTAACCTATTTGTACACCAGCTGATCATATGCGTAATTTAAGATGACCAATAATACATCTGCAGGTTGGGTACACAGGCACCACCCCCTCCCTCGCTCTCATTAGTGTGGAAAACTGAAGTCTTGGTCTTTTATTATTCCATTCAAATTTTGAGAAACATTTCTCTAAATCCTTAAAGAAAACTGTAGGTAAATGGCCAGGGATTGAATGAAATAAATAAGAGTAGATGTAGAGAATATTTATATTATGTTTATTCTACCAAAGAGGCAAATAGGGAGAAAATTCCAAAATTAAAGATTATGTTTTATATTATTTATAAGTAGAAGATCATTTTTGTCAACAAGTTTAATAAGGTCTGGAGTGATATGAATGCCTAAATATGTAAAACCCTCTACCACTAATTGAAAAGGGGATGCAACCACCCAAGGTGTGTTAAGGGATACATTTAAAGGTAAAGCTAATGATTTTAAAAAATGTATCTTATAGCTGAAAAATTCGACAGGGTAACCATCGAGTTCTGGTCTTTTCCGTGAGGACATTGACTGGAAACTTTTCTGCGGGGGTAAAAGGGGCATTAAGACTGCATCTGTTATTGTGTGAGACCACCAGAAGTGATGTTATCCAAATATGCAGCAATGTCAGACACTAAAGCTTCATTTTGGGGTTTATATAAGTATTTGTAGTAATTTTGAAGGTAGTATTGATCACCTTTGGATCATATGTATGAGAGCCTGTCAGTGTCTTTACAGATTTTATTAACTGTTCTGAATATTCTTTCTTAATCTGATAAGCCAGTAACCTACTAGGTTTATTACCATATTCATAATACTTTTGCTTAGAAAAGAATAATAATTTGTTAATATGATTTGTATATTCTAGCTCTGTATTGTATATTTTAGATTGTATATTTTAGCTCTGTTGCTACATAAAGAGGCCCAGTTAGATTTGTTAGGATTTGACTTAGGCAGCTGCTCAAGGCATGTTACTTCCTTTTCTAAAAACATCTGATTTTGTGTTTTCATATTTTGACGTGATGAGGTGTAAAATGTAATATGCCCATGTATTGTAGCCTTCAAGGCTTCCCATCGCATAAGTGGTGAGACATTACAGTTCTTATTACATTCTCAACATTCCTTAATCCAGTAATGTACCAGGTCACAGAATACACTGTCTGAAAAAAGGGAAGAGTTAAGTCTCCAAAGTCTGCTTTTACATATTGAACTGGCAAAATTAATATGCACACTAACACGGGCATGATCTGATCCAATCTGGCAAGACTGATTCGTGTGAACAAAGCTACTTGGAATAAGAATATAGTCGATTCTGGAATAAGAGGCAAGTGGGTTAGAGTAAAAAGTATAATTTCTAATTGTGGGGTTCAATTCTCGCCAGATATCAACTAGACCAGCATTGTTACATGTCTTTTAAAACTGAAGAGGATCTAGAATGAGAGAATGTGTTGGGTGAGGATCTATCTATTAAATCTAATGTGCAGTTAAAGTCACCTGCCAGGAGTCCCATCCCTTTACAATGTTGGGTAAAAAGCAATACTATGTCCAACATAAATTTGGGAGAATCTTTACTGGGGGCATAGACACTAAGTATGGTAATATATTGACCCAACAGTGCACCTGAGATCAAGACAAATCTTCCCTCGGGGTCTTTAATTTGAAATTCACATGTAAACGGTAGATGCTTACTAATTAAAACTGCAGTACCTTGTCTGAGTGGGACTAAAATATAAGGGGAAAAGAAAACCCATCCAACCCAATCTCTGTTTATTTTAAATGCTCTAAATCAGAAAGGTGCGCCTCTTGAAGTACTGCTATAAAAGTTTTCTCTTTTTTCAAAAAGGTAAAAATTTTTTTCCACTTAACCACGTGGCCCCAACCCTTCATGTTCCATGTAGTACATTTATAGGAACTGTCCATATCCTGATAGAAAAAGAATGTATGTATTGGTTAAATGTATGGCCCATGTGAGAGACTGAACATTGAGTGCCTTTTGCAATCCAACAAATATAGAGCAACTCCATAAAACCCATATCCACCCACCCAACCCCGTCCCCAAATGACAGGGTAACAGAACTATGAATGCAGTATAGTGCCATATTGGCATGGTTAGGGGGAACATTGGGCATGAAACACTCAGAGAATGGTGGCAGAGCAACCGAGACAGTTCCAACCATTGGCAAAAACAAAACTGACAAACAAGCATAGCGCCAATCAACAGGAGAGGTAATAAAGGTGAAAGTAAATACATAATTAAACTGAAAAAAAGAAAATAAGTATTATAATGATAAACATTGCTGAATTATTTCCAAATCGCAACTGAGCCAAGACAAACATGATTTGCATCAACTGTGTGCATTCCATTTCTTGGGAAAAAAAGACAAAAAAGACGTCAAAGCCTCAAAAAATTTTTACTAGTCCAGATAATCTAGCAAAAGCCATATAAATTGTCAGTATACACTATATTTCCAAAAGTATTCACTCATCTTGCTTAATATGCATATGAACTTGAGTGACATCCCATTCTTAATCCATAGGGTTTAATATGATGTCGGCCCACCCTTTGCAGCTATAACAGCTTCAACTCTTCTGGGAAAGCTTTCCACAAGGGTTAGGAGAGTGTTTGTGGGAATTTTTGACCATTCTTCCAGAAGCGCATTTGTGAGGTCAGACACTGATGTTGGACGAGAAGGTCTGGCCTCCACTCTAATTCATCCCAAATGTGTTCTGTCGGGTTGAGGTCAGGACTCTGTGCAGGCCAGTCAAGTTCTTCCACACCAAACTCGCTCATCCATGTCTTTATGGATCTTGCTTTGTGCACTGGTGCGCAGTCATGTTGGAACAGGAAGGGGCCGTCCCCAAACTGTTCCCACAAAATTGGGAGCACAAAATTGTCCAAAATCTCTTGGTCTGCTGAAGCATTAGGAGTTCCTTTCACTGGAACTAAGGGGCCGAGCCCAACTCCTGAAAGACAACCCC